GCCTTTTCAGTATACCTTTAAATTTCAGTATACCTTTAAATCATTTCATTGTTCTGTACAGTTGCATCATATAAACTGTTACGGTCGTCATGTTTGTCCCACTGTATTTAGAGGGAGTTCATACGTCAATGAATCCGTCGAAGTTTGTATTACATTGGACGCCTGAGGCACAAAACGGTCAAAAGTTGATTTTTCATAAACTCAGGGTGGTTGGATATGCTAGTGGTGCTTGCAGATGGTGTTGTACCATCCCATGATGATCTTCGGGTGCACAGGCGGCAATAAAGCAGCACTTGAAGCTGTGTTTGCATAAATATTACTTGGTGGCTGTGTGGGAAACGAGAAGAACATAACTTCTTTATGAAGAACAGAGCATAAAAAATAATGCAGCCCTACCAAAGTCAAATTCCACCAAACAAGTATTTCACTCTGTTTCCCTGCCTATGTTGCCCCTCAATCGGGATCAAGTTGGGATCACGTGGAACAAAAACAGAAACTTTCGAATAACTCATTCAAAATGTTTCATATTTCTAATACAGATGATTCATATGAGTGCCACATATGCACTTACAGTAATTTTAGTCCATAAAATGATGTGCCCATAAAAGTGTTACATAGCAAAAGTATTGCTGTATTCAGCTGGTATTTCACTTCGGTTTCTGACTGTCCTCTTTGTTCTCCCTCTGAAAAAAAGAACAAAGAATGTGGTCAAATATCAACAAGCCAAAACTTTGGAAAATAAAATCAAGACAAACTGGCGAGAAGCATCGTCTCCAGTTAAAAAGAAAACAAAATTAGGCTGCGAATACGTCAGAAGCAGACTAAGCATGGATTAAAGTAAGCGCGTACCTTCTCTTTAACAGCTGCAGCGGTGTTGACTGCGTCGCGGACCTCCTGCGAATTTGGGTCGACACCGGGCAAATCGGCGACAAGCTGACGGAGTAATTCCGGATCACTCATCAGTTGACCCAACTGATCGTCGTCAGTCTGAAATGAGTACGGAATTACATGGAGATAATGTGTAAGCGATGTACCAAAATGAATCTACAGAGCCTGTTATTCTCATTTTAAAAATTCTACTTGGGTAGCAAGTCTGGACGAAGTAAATTCCAGGTCTTTGGCCTGCGGAAGGTCAGTGAAAATTACCTTCTGGCTTAGTAGCATTAGCGAAGCCATAAGTAAAAGCAACACTATTCCACCTAACTTTTCAAGTTGCTAGGGTGTGACCATATCTGTGACGCAGTATGCCAGAGGTTGGTGGTTCACATCACCTGTAACAACTGCGCCTCCCTCCCTTGTAGCTCAGGACGACAGTGAACCGTACCCAGCGAATGGTAACACTCTATCGCACAGCACCTTATAAACAAAGAAGCCACAAAGGTTGAAGACTGCAACACACTTCAACATATCACTTTTAGATCACCGCACTGTCATTCACAAAAACCAGTTGCCCGCTCAATTTCAGATGAAGCAAGCGAAAAAATGAAGTTTTTGTTGAAATTCGTTAGATCCCTGT